GGGGTACAAGGTAAGATTCTAGTCCTTGCCCCCTTGTGGATTGAGTGGGATCCGTGGACTCGATCCGAGTGTTTCCTAAGTCAGATGCTGCAGAACCCTCTGCCATGACACTCACAGGATTCGCTGTGGTGGCTGATCCACCAGCCTGGGACGCAGGGCGGGAAGGCACGGAACGGAATCCCCAGCCTGTCTGCTCTTATCTTGACTTAGTCAGTATTTACAAAGAATCGTCTTTGGCTCTGTTGGTTTTTCTGCGTTGCATTTTACTTGAGCATTGATTTCTGCATTGTGATTTCATTCTTTCTGTTTGCCTTGGGTTTAGTTTCTGTTTTTCTAGCTTCTTTCGGTAGAACCTTAGATCTTGAATTTTAAGCCTTTCTCCTTTTCTAAAAATTCTTCTGTAAGTACTGCTTTTGCTGTACCCCACACATTTTTATATGTTGAATTTTTATCATTCTGTTTGAAATATTACATAATTTGCCTTGTGATTTCTTCTTTGACCCATAAATTATCTAGAAGTGCGTTGCTACATTTTCAAATATGTGAGGCTTTCTCAATATCATTTTGTTATTGATTTCTAATTTAGTTCCTTTGTTGTCCAAAAACATATTGTGCATGATTTCCATCCTTTTAGAATTTGAGATTTGTTTTATAACTCAGGATATGGCCTATCTTAGTGAATGTTCCATCCGCACTTGAAAAGAACATGTGTTTTGTGCAGTTGTGTGACCTAAGTGTTAATTAGATCAAGGTGTTTGGTAATGTTAAAATCTTATGTATTTTTACTGATTTTCAAGGTAGTTATTGTTCTACCACTTACTGAGAGCGGTCAATCTCCAGCTATGATTTTAGATTTATGCTTTTTACCTTTTAATTCTGTCAATTTTTGCTTGATGTATTTTGAAGCTCTACTATTAGATGCTTTCATATTTAGGATTATTGTATATCAATTTCATCATTATGAAATGACATTCCTTATCTTTGATGATATTCTTTGTCTTCAAGTCTACTTTGTTTGACTTTAATATAGTTATATCAGCTTTCATATCTTATATTTTCATTGTCTATATTTTTTCCATCTTTTATCCTTCAACCTGTCTGTGCCTTTATGTTTAAAATGCATCTGAACATACACTTTGGTCTGCATCTTTTTTGAATCCAGTCTACATCTTTGACTTTTCATGAGAGTCTTTACACCATTTACATTTGATATAATTGTTGCTATATTGCTGTACTTGGGTTTATATCTGTTATCTTGGTGTTTGTTTTCCTTTTGTTCCCTCTATTATTTGTTCCCTTGTTTTCCCTCTTCTGTCTTTGTCGCGTTGAGTATTTTTCGTATGTTATTTTATTTCTCTATTGTCTCTTGAGCTGTACTTCTTATTGTTATTCTTCTAGTGGTTGCTTCGTGGCAGTATTTCTCAAACATTGATGTGCACTGAAGCCACCTGAAGGATTATATAAAACACAGATATCCAGGTCTCACCCCAGGGTTTCTCAGTTAGTAGGTCAGGAGTGGGGGCCTGTGAGTCTAAATTTCTGATAAGATATTCAGTGATGCTAATGCTGTTGTCCAGGGACAACTTTGAAAACCACTGCTGTAGGAATTACAGGATGTATTCTTAACTTATCGTAGTCTACCCTGAATTGGTTTCAAGTATACCATTCAAAATATCATTTCCNAAAACCACTTTTCCATTCTGTACATCCTCATATTTTTAGATAACGTTGAGTATGATTAGAAATCTTTAAGCCAAATTCAAAAGATTACCCCTAAGAATGATGGGAAGCCAAGGAGGGCTGTGTGATTAAGTGACCCTGTAGGGGTCTCCGTTCTCACTGTGTATATCAGGCTCATCTGTCAGATCTTTGTTTCAGACACACTCACCCATGCTTTGCCCTAGAGACTCTCACGTAGTAAGTCTGAATGAAGCGTGGGCATCTTTAATTTTATAAAACTCTGCACATTGTATTCAATTTCCTAGAGCTGAGAACCACTCCTCCGTGGTTTGCTATAAAGTTGGTAGCATTTTTCTTAGGACAAGAAAACTTTTTTTTATTAATTTAAAAGCCCTTTATAGATTTTTTTGCTTTTTGTTTTTTTCCTATGTAATGTTATTTTTATTTTTCTCAAGTAAATCACTAATTAGCATTTAGTAAATAGTTCCATCAGCAGTCCCCTAAAAATGATATTTTAAGTTAATGCATTCGCATTTTTCTTGCCAACCATAACATAGCCTTACAAAGGGCCGTGTTAGCGTTTAGTCCACTGACATTACTAGTTTTGTGCCTTACAAAGCAATAACTTGAAGTATATTTGGTAAGCTGTACCTTTACATGCTACAGATATTTGGGACAGAGTGTTAAAACCCAAAGATGAAGGTAGGTCCCTTATCCTCAGACAGGACAAGTACTGAGACAATGACCCTGAAGTTCTGTGCTGGGGGAGCCAAGCGTGTGGAAAGAGATGAGAACGTGGGGGACAACCTGTGGGGAAAAAAACTGAGGGGGATAATAAGGGATCCTGGATGGGATTGTGATTTGGTATGCGAGAGGAAACAAATTTAGAAATGCTACCCTGAAGGTCACCCATTTCTGATTGTTTGCCCCCACCTCAGGCCCTGGATAAGTGTAGACATGTGTATCTACTGAGAAGCNTGGGACTCTAGCTCCACACAAATCGCTTAATGCTGTCCCACAGTTATAGCCTTTGCCTATTGATTGCTTTGTGCAATTATCTACACCTACCTATCTTTATTAAGAGCCTTCAATTTTTAAATAAATCATTAGATTATGGTAATAGTAGGGTTTCGTTTCTTCACTTTGATAGATTTCCCTATCCTATTACTGTTTTTTTAATTGGTATTATTATTACTAAGATTTACCACAATGTTACTGAAAATGTGCTCTGTATTATTTTAATCCCATTAATCAATGCACATTAGTTTCATTAAGTACTTACTGTAATTTACCTAGTAATTCTCACCCAAGGGAGTGTGATGGTACCAGGCTGGAGGGAGTGCTGCCGGGCCCGTTCGCTGTGCAGTCCTCAGTGAGACCCTGCCCTCCTCTATGTGTGCATGTTTTCAGTGACCCGTGACTCAGTCCTCAGACCCTTCTCTTCCCAATCCGGGCTCACTCTCCATGTGATCTCATCTAGTCTCGCAGCTTAAAATAATGACCACAAGCTGAGACCTGTCCCTGACTCCAGACCTGTGTATGTCACTGCCAGTTTGACACTTCCACTTAGATACCTCTCAGGCCCCTCGAACTTCACATGTCCAAGCCTGAAACTGGGGTAATTCCCCCATAAGCCACAGGTGCCTCCTGTCCTCCCCATTTTAATTTACGGCAGTTCCATTTATTTCATTGTTTAGCCCAAGAATTTCAATGCCTCTTTTCACTCCCCTTTTTCTCTGGTCTGTCAGTAAATCCCAGCAGCTCTCTCTTTAAAAATGCATCTTGAATCTGACCACATGTCACCACTGTCCCTGTCACCACACAGATCCAACCCACCATCGTCTCTCCCTTAGGTTATAGTGTGATGGCCCCTGCCGCTTGTCTCCCTACTTCTGTCCTGAGTCCCCTGCAGTCAGTTTTCAGCACAGCAGCCAGCATGGTCTGTTAAGTGTAGGTCACATCAAGTCATTTCTCTGCTCAGAGCCCTCTCAGCTGGCGGCTTCCCATCTCGCTCACGGTAGAAGTCATTGTCGAATATGATCTATAAGGCCCTATGTGATCTGACTCACGTTAACTCTGCTTCCTCCTCTCCTCTTACTTTTCACACGTTCTTTCTGCTTTTTCACGCTTGGTTGTTCCTTAGTCATGCCAGATATCCTCCCCAGCCCTGCCCCTGCCTCACTGGCTTCCCCCTCTGCCTGGTATATTTTCTCACCAAGATGTCCACACAGCACCTTCATTTTCTTCAGACCTTTTTTTTAAAAATCACTTTCTAATGAGGCCTTCCCTGCATGCACTCTTTCTAAAATGTCAGCGCCCTCCCATACCTTCCCACCCCTCCACCATGGAATATGCCCCCCCACTATTTTTCCTGTAGCATTTATTACTATATAGCTTTGTACATTTTACCTGATCACCTTGTCTATTGTCTGTCTTCCCCCCCTATTGAATGAAAGGTAACGAGACCAGGGAGTTTTGTCTGTCCCATGAATGACTGTATCCCTACTGTTTCTAATCATGCCTGGTACCTAGTGGAGGTTTTGTAGATATTTTTTGAATAAATAAATGAGCAATAGAGCTAGGCCACAATTTTATATTTTGCCAGCAGCTGCCACTCTCTAAGTATATTTCCACATCTGAATATTTTTGTTCCAGTTTGGTCTACAGAACGAACCAGTTAAAACATTTGAAATAATAATTCTATCATTTGAAAGTCCTCCCATTGAAATCACGTGTGTAAAAGATGAGCAGGCATAGCAGCTTATACAGTGATGACAGGACCTGTGTTTAGATCGGTGCTGTTGGGACGTCTGAATGAAATTTGCACCATCACGGAAAGGGCTCATGGAGCGCTCAAGAACTGTAAACAACGGGGGAGTGTAGCTCTACTTATACGAGAACCCTTTGGAAGTAAACATAGTGTTAATTTTTTCATCTGTCATCTAAAATCTCAGCTGCATTAAGCTGGCCATTCCTGTGCCTGTATTATCTGTAACCATGTTTCCCTTCTGCTTTTTTGAAGAAGAGATTTCAAGGCAGGAAAGAGGAAGTTTCATATTCTGAGTGTACATATTAGTACTTTATATTAGTATCATATTCTTTATTTTAACAGTTTTTGTTTTCTTTTTATTCAGGGCAACACAACTATTTATGTGCTGGAAGAAATGATTGCATCATTGATAAAATCCGACGGAAGAATTGTCCTGCCTGCAGACTTCAGAAATGTCTTCAAGCTGGAATGAATTTAGGAGGTCAGTTATATGTTCCCAGTTCAGTAAAAATTGTTAATATGTAATATAACACTGCTGGGCTCTGGGTACTCCCAAAATTTATGATGAAGCTAAACATAGAGCAAAGATTTCTAAAAATCTAATAAGTTCTACGTTCATGCTAAAACATTTTATGAGAAAAGTATTTCTTTTTTATTAATTAAAATTTATTGGGGTGACAGTGGTTAGTAAGATTATGTAAAATATGTGGTGATGGAAGGAGAACTGACTCTGGGTGGTGAACACACAATGTGATATATAGATGATGTATTAGAGAAAAATGTTCTTTAACAGGAGTTAAAAACAAAGTGTTATGTGGCTGTGGTCCTAGTAATGTTTTCAACCCTGAGTTTGCGAAGGTTTCAAGAACAGGGCACACAACCAAAGCAAAAACAAAAATGAATGCCTTTTTATATAACATTGTAGGTAACAGTTTTTATTACCCTATCAACTTAATAAGAAAGATATCCATGTGATAGCATTAACCAGTAGGAATATGTTACTAACTCTAGGAGTAAATGTAATGAAGACCTATATGAGAACAACTTTAAAATATTAAAGGAGCTCACCAATAGGGGGCGTGAGGCAAAAGGCTGAACCAATCTCAGAAGTACACAATGTTCATACATGGGAAGATTGAACCTCCGAAGGGTACCAGTTTTTCCTAAATTAATTTATAAATATAACACAATTCTAGCAAAAATACCCAATAGTTCTAAGTTCCTGAAGAACAGCCAGCAGAATTCTGGAAAAGAAAAATAATGAGGGCAACTAGCTCTACCAAATAGTAAGACACGTGATGCAGCTGCAGTAATTAAAATAGTTTGTGTATTTGTTTACTGGTTGTCAGATCAATAGGAAGCCAAGAAATAGATTCAAATAATATGAGAATTTTGTACATGATCAAGTCGGCATTTCAGATCAGTGGGAAAAGGGTCGATTATTCAACAGAAATTATTGTGACAACTGGGAAGCCATTTGGAAAACAAGAAAGTTGAATCCAAACTCTCACTATCCACCAAAATAAACTCTTAAGTATTTTAGAGATTAAAACTTTGAAATATAAAACCACAGAAGTACTAAAAGAAAACACAGATTTTTTTTTAATACTCTCCAAGTAGAGAAAACCCTTCTAAGTATGAAATAAATGCAGAAGCTATGAAAAAAGAATTGAAGACATCAGCACTACTTACAAATCAAATATTACTGCAAACAGTAGCTCGGCCAAAGAGTCCCATGCTGGTTAAGAGGGGGGCTCTGCAGCCAGAGTGCCTGATGGGAACTCTTGTTCTGCCACTTCCTGGCCTTGCAACCTCAGGCAAGTTGCCACGTTTCCATGTTTCCTTATCTTCAGCTTGCATTGATCAGTGAACTTACCTCACAGGCTGTAGTGAGAGTTAAATGAGTGAGTGCACAGTGAAAAGCAAGTGATCACTTAGTACATGTCAGTGGCGTGATAGGTGGTAATGCTCATGGCATTTTCTATAGCACTTCCACACATTACCTGAAAGACATCATTGCCTCATATTTTGGGGATGGTGAAGCTCAGGTGCCCGGCGAAGTTAAATGACTTATCCAGATGCCACCGCTAGTGAGATGGTGAAGGTAGATTTTGGATCTCTGAACTTCTGGTCTGGTGTTTCTGGTATCTTATACTGCCCCCTTTTTTGAATATTCAAATCATCGCATAAAAAATGTGGCACACACAAAAAAATCACCTCTGTAGCATGTTAGTGA